AAAAAAAAAAAAAAAAAAAAATATATATATATATATATATATATATATATATATATTACTAACCCAAAACTTTTGCTGACAATAAATAAATCAAATATTATATAATAGTAGATGCTTTGCCAGTGTCTTTGTGGAGGGATCTTAAAAGCATGAAATGTGCTTTCATAGGATTTACACTCAAATGATAATCAGTGACTTAGTTTGGAGATGTAAGACATGCCAGAGACATTCATAATATCAAGCAGGCTTTGATCTGGTGATGAACAGTTTGATCTGATGCAGCAACCTCTGCTCTAACACAAGCATGCCATCCTGCAGCAGTATATTTTCACAAAGCACGTCAAAGATGCAAACACTTACATGCCAGATCGCGAAGAAGATGAGAGAAGCACAGAGGACAAGGGAAAGCATATAGCAAAAGGCAGCGAAAGTGAACATAATTGAGAGGAAACTGGAAGGAAAATCTCCAAGAGAGAAGACTGTGCTCGAGCCAAACTGGACTGAATGAATGAATGGAAGCAGTTACGGGGCACGCGAGAGGGAGAGCATCGTGTTCTTCATCAAAATATTTGCAACAATGTGTTGCTCCAGTTCAGTGCAGTCGCTTTGCCATATTCACGAATCAATAAAAAAAAGTCCAGTGGTGTGTCGATTTTGCGCGAGTTGCAGCACTGTTGAGAAGTCCCTGCGAGATCAAGGCATTTGTGGACTCATGATTCATTAACATTGTCCCGTATGGTGTCGTCGGCAGTGATAGTCCATTAAAGATGGAGACTATGCGCGGTGACGACTTTGGAAATACAGAACTTTGAGTTAATGCACTAACACACGGTCCTGGCGATCAGTTCACCTTCTCAAACAGAAGGCGCAAGAATAAATGCATCTAACAGGTGGATTTAAAGAGCTCTCTCTCTCTCTCTGTGGCTCTCTCAAATCAGACACTGGGTCAAAGCATGTCCCACAACATTACCTGTCATAAACAGCGACATTTACACTTTGAAATTTAGTTAGATGAAATTAAATACAAATGTACCATTTCATTTAATCACAATATTACATTATCACTCACTACCCCTAAAACCAGTTGTGCTCAAACCATAACTCACGTATTTCATATAGATTGCATTATAAACAGAAATAAATGGCCAATGGTCTATGTTTTAAGAAATCACATCTAGCTATGTCCTGACAAAAAGAAAAGAGGATCATTTTAAAAATATTCCTCTTTTATAAGTTTTCACAGCTATAAATAACTAATATATTTATAAAATTAGTTAATATCAAAGTCAGCCCTCATCCTGACAGGCCCCTTTCCATATTTCATCTGCGCTGAGTTCAGAAACATCGCTCTGGCTCTGATAATTTTACAGTGTATATATATATATATATTTATCCTTGTAAGGTTAAATTACCTTCTCGCGCCATCTTGCGTTTCGACACGCTAAAGTCAGTTAAAATTCAGATTTTATATTAATTTTTGTAACGTAACAAATAGACCGACAGAATTACCATATGAATAAATGATGAATATGAGTAAGTAGGCCTAAGTGAATAATTAAACAAATATATAGGCTATACGATCAATTTATAGTGCATTTGTATCAGACTCTATAGGATATTGTCAGTTTTGTTTATGTTCGCCCAGCAACGGATTATTACAATAGTTTCGTCTAAAGCCTTTAACTCTCTGTACCAAGACCATCACTCCCTATTAACGGATCATCTCTACATAAGGGACAGGAGGTAAGGTTTCCAGAATATATTTGGTCCATATATAAGCTACATCCTAAAATTGATATTTTATTTACTACAAAATATTTATAGTAGCCTAGTCGCGTTGCGATGAGCGCAAGTAGGCGAAAACATTTAAAAAATGAGTCTCATTGCAACACTTGCTCACAATCGCATGAAATAACACTTAAACCCTCTACCGCATGGTGTAGCCATATGGCAACATACTCAAATTTTTTTTTACAGCACTTCAAGTTAAGCCATTCTTAGAAAAGAAAAAGATTCAAATATTTTTTTCTATAGGTCTATCATAATGCGTGCGGTAGAGGGTTACATTAACGAATTTAGTCATTTATTCCTCAAAAAGTTTTACCCCTCACGAAGTGAATAGTGTTTTAGAGGAGGAAAAAAAAGTTAAAATCATGTAGCTACACTCACACGAAGTTAAGACTGCGTGTCCAGTAGTCCAGGCTAGCCTACAGCTGATTTATTTTATGAGAAGCAGGACGCAGTGGTAGCAGACATATTGAAATCACATGAATATGAGCAATATCAATATTATCAAATAATATAATTATTTTGTTATTTGTGTAAATAATTAAGTTAATTAGCTTTAAATTAGCTCTATTTGTGAAAATCTTTTGTATCCTTTTCATAGAAATACTTATTTAGTTACAAATGCAATATAGGCCTATTTACTAAGTTCAAAAAATGCTGGACAACAGATCATTCCCTTGAAGTTTTTTTTTTCATCACTTACAGTGAAATGTCACGGTCATACGAAGAAACACCCAGACTTCGGTGACTCATTCTGGAGTTTTGGAAAACTACAGGACTTCAAGCCTCACATTAGACACGTTGAACCTGTTCTCACTGAGTAACTATTTCATGAATCAGTTTCTCTCCCCTAAAGTATTAAAAAAATTGACTCAGCTGCAGTTGAAGTTACTTGTGAATGACAGCTTTTCAATTTTTCCTTTAGTGTTTGGAGCAGTAGAAGCAAAGTGTCAAAGTTTTATTGCATAACTTGAATCATAAAGCGAACAGCATTTTTGAGTGGGACAAATGAGAGACTCTTGAGTCTTAATTTTAAAGCTCTGATGTTACAACACATTACAGTGAATGATGAGACTTGTGCTCTGTCTCTAGCCACTGTCAATATTTCAAATACTCAAGTCAAACATAAAACGTATGTGTATCCTATTCATATGATTTTATGCAGAGGATTTTTTTTCTACACCAAGGGTGTCGAAACTCGGTCCTGGTCTGGAGGGCCACTGTCCTGCAGAGTTTAGCTCCAACTTGCCTCAACACACCTGCCTGGAAGTTTCTAGTAATATACCTAGTACACTCTAAAAAATGCTGGGTTAAATACAACCCAGTGCTGGGTAAAATAGGGACAAACCCAGCCATTGGGTTGTTTTGACCCAGTGGTTGGGTTAAATGTTTAACCCAACTTTCTGGGTAGTAACCCAACCGCTGGGTCAAAACAACACAATGGCTGTGTTTGTCCCTATTTTACCCAGCACTGGGTTGTATTTAACCCAGCATTTTTTAGTGTAAGACCTTGATTTGCTGATTCGGGTATGTTTAATTAGGGTTGGAGCTAAACTCTGCAGGACAGTGACCCTCCAGGACCAAGTTTGGACACCCCTTCTCTACACTATATTAATATGATATGAATGGTTTTAGATGTGACCTTGACTGGAAATCCCTTTTGCGCTGGATACCTGAAACTCGATACAGTGATGCCCCATTTCCGCACATCAAAGATATAAAGTCTCCCAATGAAAGGAAACTGATGAGATCCTTCCCATGTGAGTCAGGCTTTGATCAGCAAAGTATTAATAAAAGAATCTCTAGTGGCAGCTGTACATGAAAACTTTCCTATGACTTCGTTAGAGTAATCCCTAAGGCTGTAACATCTAAGACGTTTTTCAGAATCTTTTATATTTATTGGCATGTCCATTTAGAGGCTAATAGGGTGTCCGTATCTCAGTAGAGCTTTTATCAAAACTTTGGACAGCCCAAGACCTATCACACTGGAAAGAGATGTTTTAAGGATGGCATTATTTATACAAGAAGCATGAGATGCATTTCAGAAAATTCCCTGGAATCATCCATAGGGAGGAAAAAGCAGGGTAAGAGCTAGTTTATCAATGCTAATAACGTTACTTGCTGCTATTGTTCTTAACTATTCATATAAAGAGAAATTGCATTTAGTAATGTGTAGTCAGTGCACCCCAAGTTGTTTTAGGTCATGGGTAATTTAGCATTTTTTCTTATATACAGTACATAGTTCGAAACATTTGTAGTCTGAGAGATGTTCAGAACTTTAATAAACCATATCTTCTTGTTTTTTCAGCCACAGACAAATGCAGCATCTACCCTTCAACAAAGGTCAGACCATTTCTAGTCCCTGAGTACAGCTCTGACTTTCCAAAAATATGAATCATCACTGCGCACAGCCACTTTTGGGTAAGGACCAACATGCTTACTGCAGATGCAGTAAGATAGATCAAAAGGATGGGACTGTAGCCATGTTTTATTGCAAATTAATGAACAAAAAAACCCTTTGTTCAACTTTCAGTGAAAGGATATATCAAAGTACAATGTTTCAAATCTCCCCATTGAAACTGAATATACACACAGCCAACAATTTGGACTTTCACAGCACACTGTAGGGCAATTGGAAGATGTCCAAAGAAAAGGAAAAAACAAAGGCTATAAATACACAAGAACCGAATGATTTAACAAGACTAATTAACCAGAAACATCCGCAAGACAAGAGCGAGGAGACAAAACTTCAAAATAAGAGCACAGACAGATAATTTTTCTGACATATTTACTTGTACATTACGTCAGGTCCAGGCCTTTTGCCACATTTAAACCGTTTATTCACCTAAAACCCCCAACAAAAGACATCAGGTAGGTAAAATAAATAATATTATGGTGGCCTGCACCATACAAATTCATGGCTGATATGAAATATCTTTGGAATTTCTTAAGGTGTATGTACTGTATATATTTACAGTCCACCGTATGCAGAGAACCATAAAAGTCTTGCTCGAGAGGAGGACATTCTTGAAGTCAAGAGGCTGAGCAGCTGGAGACCAGCACCAGACATCTATGACAGGACAGTTTTTCTGGACACCTAATTTGGAAGGTGTCAAACCATGCTTAAATATTTAGCATTAAATAAAATGCTTTTTTTCCCTTCAACACTACCTTATGGTTTTCCATTGAGTATATTTTACAATATGTAGATATTTATGGTTTAGCTCCAGAACTTCACATTGGAAAGGGTTGAATCAGGACAAAATGTTATGGGCTTCAGACAGTGAAAATGATTTGACTAATTGATTGTTAATGATTAAATGATTAATTTCTTTGCCTTATTAGTTGGAGGTCCGTCAAATAGATTTTCCTTAATTCCTTGACAAAGACAAATGCATGTCTTTTCACTGTGCCAAAATGTAATTGCAGAACAGAATAGGGAACAGTTAAGTATGATTGTGTAGGGAAGATGTTTATAATTGTTAATAGAAGAGGAACAGAATCTCTTTCACTCTTCTTGTTTCATCACAATCTAAATTCCCCATACTGTATCATTCATACCCAGTAAGTTGCACTGAACCATGTAATCTAATAGCAAAATAACTGTTCATAAACTGTAATTTCATAAAACGAGGATCAAACTCAACTTGCTTGAAAGCACTTTAAAGAATTTTTTTATATTGGGTTTATTTGCTTTTGTAAGAATTTCTGTGGTGAACCATCTGTTGTGTTTTTATCTAGGGTAGTTTTGCTGCATATTCTTTGTCCATATGATTCATTCAAAGGACAGAT